GACAGAATTATACCTTGCCCCAAGCTTGCTTGCCTCAGCCTTCCAGTTCGAAGCTGGTGCAAGAAATCCCTGTGGAAAACTCTTCTAATAGAGGTTAATTTGGAGGTCACCATTCTAAACCCACTTCACTGCTAAAACACTCCTAGCTCTACACAAATCCCTGCTGAGGATAGGACACCCAGACTGGATGGCTCTAAGTCACATCATGGAATTACCATATGCCAGAATTTGAAAGATCTTTGAGTGTGTTCATCTTTCCAAGCAGAAAAATTTTCCCTCATCTTCATCTTCTGTATGATATTAATTCATTCATCTTAATTTCTCAGTCATCCCCTATTCCTTCATGAATTTGTAACCAATTACAGGAAAAAAAACAAAAAAACAAACCAACAAAAAAACACCAAAACACACACAAAAAAAAAACAAAACAAGAAAAAAGAAACACAGAAACCACCACCACCAACAATAAAAAATACCCAAAGCACCATACAAACAAACAAAAAAAAAAAACCAACAGGAAAACAAACCCACAAACCCAGAGTTTAATCACAGTAAAGCCTCCTAGAAATTATGCTGATGCGGCAAAAACACGTCAGCTGGAAGCTAACAAGGCAAAAAAGCCCCGTTTCATGGGTTTATAGAGAAACAAGAAGAGCAAAAGAATAGAGACAAATATTTACAACCTCCTGTCTCCAGATCTTAATGCATAAGGATTAAGCACGGAGGTTGACTGCTACTTGAGGTGTATTAGTATAGCCACTTGAAACTTTGAATAGTTCCATCAAAGGCAAGGTTCCTCTGAAGCTAGGCAAACAAGTATTGAATTGCTACAGCTCCAAGTTGCCACTAGATAATTAACATGTGAATGTCCACATGCTGTTAATAGCACACTCAAGAGTTTGCTAGTACTTTTCTTTCAAAAGACTGAAATGGAACTTATTGTATTCTTTTTAAGAGCATTTCCCTCAGTTGCTCAGCTGATGATGAACAACAACCAACTCACAGGGTAACCAAAGAATGACAAAAAAAACCCAGATGAAGTTAGACCAAAGGTAATGTAAATTATGAGATTATTCAATGTGTTTGCATTGGAAAATTTGTAGATAGATTTTTGCAGGCCAGCTGTGAATATGAGCAGGCAAGACATGATCTAGCATACATATGATGTACAGAGCAGTACTGAAAGGTCCTGGATGAAGGAAGAGTTTGGTAAACCTCAGCCATTCACTAAACAATCAGGCAATGACTGTGTACCACCCAGGCAATGAATGCATCAGAAGTCTACAATCCCATCACAGTATCATACCTGATCTAGAAATAATGGATTTGGTTTCTTTCACTAACCTCCAACAGCTTCAGACATCCTGAGCATAAGACCTGGAGTTTTATAGAGTGAAAATACAGCAGGTGGTACCAATCACTAACAGTAGAAACTGCCTTTTCTCCATCTCATGACATCCACCAGGTCTTCTGTGACCCTGCTGCTTACCCACTGACTCTCATCAAATCCCAACACTCAAAGAAGACCGCAGTCCTCCTTGGCTGCAGGTCATGTAAATGCGCTGGGGCCCGCATGACTGAACAGGTAGCCCTTACATTTCTTTCTTCAGAGCCATCACTCTAATCTCCTGTCTAAACTAGTATACTTTGGCATTTACTTAGCTTGTTCCGTTTTGTCAGTTAGTTAAGGAATTTGGAGGCTAGAGGTTTTGTCCTTTTTATGTTTTTGTTTGTTTGTTGTTTAGTTTCTTTTTCTTATCTAATTAAAAAAAAAAAAAAGGAAAGGAAAGAAGAAGATAGATTTCACTCTTTAGTTATCTAACTGTACCAAGAACAAAGACACAAACCTCTACTATAATCTTTAAGAGATTTTGGGATTTTCTAGCAGTACTGTTTCCCTTTCTGTGCCAATTAAAATGGCTCTGTTTTCTAACTGATAAAGGTGCTGTTAACACGTGTCCACAACAAGAAGCATTGTATGCTGTTACAGTTGTTCGATAGATGCCCAGTCCCATACAGATGGTGCTTTACCCTCACCCTCTCTTCAAGCCAGAATAGTGCATTGTCCTAAAAGAGATTAATGGAAGTGCCATTCACATTAGACACTAATGCTGATAGTAGCTCTGTTACTACACCACAGACACAACTAATGCTTGAAGCAAGCAGTCCACACTGAAGGAGAAGTGGGACATTCAGAAACCAAAGTGAGGTGCAGTGAAAGAATCCCTGCAGAATGCAATCTCAAACCCTGACGGGGTTTAAACCACGACAATGGGAAAGAGACATCAGAAAAGGAAGACAGAAAGAAGGAAAACAAACAGCAGAGAAACAGCCGGGGGGGGGGGGGGGGGGGGAAATGAGGACTGAAGATTCAAGTAGACAAAACAAAGATCAGGAACTCAATGGGAATTTAAAACAAAAGATCCAACACAGCAGAGAAAGCGCCTTTTCACAGCAATGGCCAACACCTCATGTCATCAGAAAATCAGCACTAGAAAGGTGACCTGTAATAGGTAAGAGCAGCTGAAACACAGTGATACCAGGGAGTGTAAGTTATTCTACAATTGGATCTTGCCTCATTGTGCACCCCAAAGATTATCACCTTATAAAATTACACGCAAATGTTTAACATCTTAAATAGGCAAAGAGTTGAGTACTGATTAATAATGAAAATAAGAGTCTCAAAACTGACTCCTGGATACCTATTCCAAGGAAAATACACCAGGAGAGGTCTGCACAAACACTACAAAAAAGGCAATTCAGAGATAAGTTTTCAGCTCTCTCCTGGCCCCTCTCTGGTTTTGTTTAGACAAGAGATTTCAGATTCAAGACTAATTTGAGATGCTCTCACACATGCATAAAGTGGACTGAGAAGCAGCTAGGCTCAAAAGAGCTCATGCTGTAGAACTTTTGTCATGTTATCCTTCTAGTACTGTGCTCATTTACCATGATTTTTATGTGGCATAACAGGACAGAGGAAATCCAAGTATTAGACCTCTCTGTCTGAAAACTCACTGAGGCACGGATGACAAATCTAGTTGGATACTCCACAGGCATGAAACACAAAACTCCTAATAACTATCACTATCATGTCGCTAATTATTCAAAGGCCTTTCATCTGCATTTCAGAGGTTTCTTATGAGAGAAAGGGAAAATAGGGAAGGAAAAGGCTCTTCAGCAATGTTTATCAAACCTGAAAAACCAGACCCTGGCAGCAGATGGTAGATGGCAAACAGGAAGATTTTGTAAAAAAAAACCAGTAGTAGAACAGTATAAAAATACTGGAAAGAAGGAAATCATTATGACAGCAGGAAATACTAAAATTTAGAGATACACAAGCAAATGCATTTACAATGTCTGTTGCTCTATTAATAGATAAAAATGGAGCAATAGAATAAATGCAAGGGAAATGAAAAAGCACGAGCATTCTGTCACTAACAAGCTTATGCACTAACAAGCAGCTTGAGTCCAGGTCTTGAAATAGTACATTAGACCGTAATGTTTTCAAATTTCTTCTGAGGATTAGATAAATGGCACATACTGTTAACTCTTACAGGTCTCCAGTACTTTATATTAAGAAGCTGTGCTCAGGGTGAAAAAGCAGGTGAACTATTAAACAAGAAAACACTGCTGGTTCACAACGTCAATGAGCTGTAAATCACCAGGTACACCAGGAAATTAAAACTATGCTTCTGCCATTTTTGTGTTCTTATTTGTCAGTGGATCCACTCTTATCAGACACTAGGAATGGACTAGACAAGCTAGATATATCTTTTGTATGATATATTTGTCCATTTTTATGGCTTTCTTGTAACTTCCTTTACTAAGAAATGACACATCAAGGAGACGGAAGAGAATTTATTAATGACAGTATATTTGACAGCCACTATAATGGATTAAAAAGATCTTGGCTGGAGGCAATGATGATGTAGGCTGATACATAACTAGTCACTCTGCACTCCAAGTGAACATACTTCAGTGACATGCTTCCAGGTTCAAATCTCCTTACATCTCCATTTGCTATAGTCCTTACTATTCCCCATCTGGAACTTTCTTGAATACTACTTACTGTATTGTCCAAATTTTTTTCTGATTGTGTAACAGCATACAAATTGAATGCCAGAAGAAAATAGATCTTTATTTCTCTTGTAGTCCAAAATAATATTCCTAATTCAGACCTACATGATGATCTTTCTCCTTTCAGTCTCTTTAGACTTTTTTTATTATTTTTTTTTTTCCCATTCCTTGTGCAACCCTGCCAGTGAAATTACCACCTCATTTGCAGTATGCCTTTGGATTTCAGTACCAACGCAACTATACTTTAATGTACTTTAGAGGGATATTTATACCACCTAGCTCTAAGCGCCTAAGGTGGTCAAGTTATTAAGTAGCTAGTCACGGAAAACTCCCTCTTTCATCCATGGGAAAAGATTAGATCCTTCAGTCTTCTTCAGAACAAGTATATTACCACAACCTGCAACTCTTGCTACTCAAGCTGTGAGATTTCTACATGTAGAAGCTCCTAGCTGCGCTAAAGTCCATGCCATACTACCAAACTGTCTTTAGTGGCAACCTAAGACATTATGGGTTCAAGTCTTTAAAACATAATACACTCTCCTCTTCTACAAGGTGCTGTCCTGTAAGAGTCGGGAGAGAAGCTCATCTTCACAAAAACCATATATTGTTCTTTAACACATAGTTTTCCAGAGATGAATCCTTACACGGTTGTGTGAATAAATTGCAAAGACTTGCAACAGTTCCATTTCATTGAGCAAGATTCATTTTACAAATAATTCAACACAGGCTTAACTTCTGCCAGCCCCAACTAAATCAACTAAATGAACAAGCGCTTGATGTCTAGGGGTCAACAATGTTTGAGCAATATCAAAGTTTAATTATTATAATGTAATTTTTCTCCACCACATCTTGTGTTAAAAACCAGCTAACTAGCTTTAGTCTCAGTTTTAATATGCTCTTAGTATCTATACGACAGATCTTACCTTGATCTTCTGAAGAGACCGGTGACCTGGAATAAAACAACAAAGTCCAGTCAATCTTTTGGTTTGAAAAGGCCACAATTAAGTTCAAGTGTCACTGTGGGGGATAGGATATGGAGGAATTTAAAGGTTTTATTTTAGGTTTTATTCTTTATTCCTTAGAAGAGAGGGCTAGAAGGCATTTGATGAGAAAAGAGCAGAAAAGGGCAGACACCTACTCTAGCAGCATGCCCTGCAGACCAGAGTGGCAATATGGAGTCACATCCAAAAGGCAGCTGTCAGCTGCAGTGTTTAGTATTCATGCCAAAAGTGTCTGTAGGTACTTGGCAAAAAAACTGATCTACTACTGTTACTGTTGGAAATAGCTGACATTACTGGTAAGAAAGTCCTGATCCTCCTGATATTGTTGAAGGGACCATAATTAAGTGTGGGCCAGGAGAAAACCTCACAACTAGGATAGCTGAGGAAATTACAGCTTGATGGGAACTCACAGTCATTAAGGTAGCCACTTTTCTTGCTACAAGTCAAATGTATGTAGTGGCCAGCATAAAACACTAGTCATAATCCTGGCAGCTCATGCTATCTTCACAAAAGCAACAAAAGCAGACAAAAAACCCACCAAACGAACCCCACTGCCCTCCCCCCAAAAAAAAACAAAACCAACCAACCAAAAAAACAACAACAACAACAAAAAAACCCCACAACAACACAACCAAACTAAAACCAACCAAACAAAAAAGTTTGGACAGATGTAATTACAGCAAATGGCAACATAAGAGCAGCAACGTAAAAGTTACAGGGTTCCCTAACCAGTGGCTTAAGGTTCTGGTAATACACCAAGAGTGGGGGGTTATAAAATATAGAGAAACTCTCAGTGCACCCAGCAATGAGCAGAAGAACCCCACTGAATTCCAGGGACTTGTGTCATAGCTCCCATTGCTAAGGATCACGCTCCTCATCCTTTTGGTCAACACCCACAATAAAGTAATATAAAGAGCTGTAAAATATCATCTTTCCATTTTCCCCTTTGCTGCAGTATCTTGACTTAGCAAAACTGGGGTTAATTGTACAGCCAAGTCTGTGCAAGTCTAGTTGTTCAGACTAGATTGACAGCACACAGTGAATTGGACCATTGCCTCAGCACTTCCCCAGCAAAGATTCTCAACTGCATATATAGCCTTCCCACCCAGGTAACAGTGAGTTTGCTCCTGTGGTGAAAGGGTCAATCCATTCTTCCTTTCAAAGTTATAGTTAATTTTGCACCAATGTACAAAAATAACAAATTACCAAAGATTGAAAAACGTTAGTGTTGCCAGCAAACAGATCAAAGCTGACATGAAAAGCAGCCACGGAGGGGTGAAGGGAAAAGAAAGAACAAAGGGTAAAAGAACACATGTATATTTAACTGAGTCAGCAGGAGATGAGGTCTGGACCAGGGGAAAGGAGAGTTAGAAACCCTGTATTTAGAGGAATAAAGGAGCTAAGGAAGGAGTCATGATCTCATTCCATAACAGAGGTCTGAAAATGAAGGTTGAGGGATTATAGAAGTTCAGAAGCAGATATGCAAATATGTAGGTGCAAACAGGAAAGATGGAAAGAAAAGAAGGAAACTTTCCTAATGAGGTATGCAAATTTTTAGGTTTAAAAAGAGCAAGAGATTTGCAGAGAAAGAGAGGAAAGAGTTACAGCACAGCTGGAGCAATGGTCACTGTGAAAGGAAAAAATGTGATTGCCTAATTAAGATTCTGACTGTGCAAGAAGCCAATGAGTCTGTATGGATCAGACTTAATTAATCCCCTACTCCCATTAAATCCTCTGATTGCTGCTGAACATCCTAGGCATGTATCCTGCTCTGCTGCCAACCAGGCCAGCTCTGCCCTTATTCTTCAGCCGTGCCTGTGGAAATACAGTAGGAATACAGGTAACTCAGAGGATTAGTAGGCATCACTAGGACTCTGTCCCACTGCTTTGATCAGTTAGTTAGAGGTCTTCTGCCATAACCCACAGGAGAAGCTCTCCTGAAGGTCAAAATAGACAGTGTTTCCTACAAGGTTAAAGAATGTAGAATGGCCCATATCAAGAGATGCAAATTTTTAGGTACTTAAGAATATTTTTACACGCAAGAGTCATGCCAGGCTCGTTAGCTCGCTTATCCTGACTCTCCACCCATTGACAGTGCAGTATCCCACAGCGTCAGTAGAATTTATTCCTTTGTTTTGTTTCTTAATTGCACAGTTTCATCACCTTTCCAATCATTATTCGAAACAATAAAATAAACAATAAAGATTATCCAACAATTTGCCTCTTCTTTCTGCCTGGTAAAACAGATGTCATTATTTCCTTAAAGCATCAACAACAGAAGATATACTATTACTGCCTTCTCGATTGAAACATTTGAAGAGAGGGATGAAAATTATGAAAATGCATATTAAGTAACCCAAATTAGTATGTATTTTTCAAAATACTACTGTCATATACCTTTGTTTTATGCCTTCAAAACAGTGGTTAAAAACGAAAGAAATCTAACAGATACTATTGTTGCTAGTGGGAGTGTTATCATTTGAAAGGCTTTATCAGGCATCTTTTGAAACTGTGGAGCCTGATATCCTGAGAAAATAAGGTTTATATAATTGCAGCATCGTGATATGTACATATGCACCTCTGCCTCATCCTAATAAAGTTTGAGCTTGTTGGCTCATTTCACCTACTGTTAACAGAGAGGCTGGAGACCCAATTCCTGCTTTCCCAAGGAAACACAATAGCATAAGTTCAAACTTTCTGCATAACTGCAAAGCCATAAAGAGAGGTTTTGAATACCTCAGCCACAGAAAAGCCTCAATGGGAGCTTCTACCATTGCAGATACCAAAGTTTCAACCACAATAAACTAGGCTTCTTTTGTTCCATTATTGACATAAAATATTTTGGCAAAGAGCAAAGAGGTCTTTCAACATTCTCCTACAATTACAGGCCATACATTTTAGCGGGGGGGAGGTTTTCCAAACTGTTCAAGTACGGGCCTAGGTACACCAAGGGGAATCTTGCTTGTAACTAAAATGTAAGAAAATAAGGCTGCTGAAAAGTCCACGCTAATAATGCTGGGCATTTTATGCATTGTCTGTTTTACCCCATGCTTATGACAGGCTCTAAGGGAGGAAGGAAAGCAAGTCTAATGACCTGCTCCAAACACGTGCACTCATTCCACAGGCACAGGGGACTTTCCTGATAGGAGAAAAAAAAATCAAGTGAATGCTCATATTTCCGGTCACACGTCTTTCTCTTGGGTCTGTAAGAAGTGTGAGGGATATGCTGTGGCAGCACTGGTCATGAGGTGGGTGTCCTGAGGAGGGAGGATTCTCAGCTGCTAACATCCACATGGTAACCATCTATATAGCACCTGTCGGCTGCCCTCCTTGTATGATTCTAGCTGTGTGTTTGACTGTCAATAAAGAAGCAAGTCATCTCACTATGTCCAGGACTTAAAAAGAGTAGAGACAAGTCACAGATATTTCAGAAGAACTAATAAACTGTGAAGATCTGTGGTCCCACCTGGGCCAAAACACTTGGCCAAATGGAGTCTTGAAAAAGTTTTCATTTGGATAAAAAAACCAAAAACTTCAAAACCGTCAGGAAAAGGTTTGGATACTGCAATATCCTGTTCTTAGCCATTTCAGAACAGAATAGCTGTTTTGTTATATGAACTGTTAGCTTTTCCTGGTTTTATCTTGGTGTAAAATTGTAGAAAGGCTCATCACCTCCCCAAGAGAGTAAAGACAGGCCAAATTGTCTATGACTGGCTACGTTTCCAGAATCATGAGATAAAATTAGCTGTTCTACAAAAACACTCTTTTCCCATGCATAAAAGGAAAACCCAATTTCAAGTATTTTCACAAAATATATTAATCTGACTTTTATACTGCCCTGGTTTGACGGATGCTTTATGAAGAGCTATTGAATGACTAGTTAAAGTGAAGATAAACATTACTATGGTGACAGGGAAGGGGATCAGAAGAGAGGAGAAAGGAAAGTATGTTATCACCTCCATTTGCCTTTTGTGCTGTTCATACTCCTCCTTTCTCTATAGGTCCTGCAGTAGTGTTCTCCTGTTGCAGGGTTGCAAGCTCTACTCAGAGCTGAAACAGAACTTGCAAGCCTCAGACTGAAAGAGGAAGCTGTGCATTGCCCATTCCTCCACTCCCTATGCAAGCAAAGCAGTACCTTTTGCGCTTAACACAAAATGCAAAAGGATTTCCCAGGAAATGAGGTAGTCATATTTAGAAATGCATGGAAAAAGCCATAATAATAATGTAAAAAATGTCATACATTCACTAGATGCTTCCAACAAATTGGAAGACTTATGATACTGAAGGCATGAGACATGTCCACCTAGCACAGCACTGTGCCTCAGAGTTAATGGCCTGATCCAAAGCTCACTGGATTTTTTCCAGTCACTCTTACAGGCTTTGGATCAATTGCTGGCAAAAATCTAATCCTCCAAAATAGCCAAGACAGCCTTCAATATCATACAAGCCTTCCCCAAAGAGCAAAATACTCACAGCTGTTTCCAAGAGCACTCACCGATGTGGAAGCAATAGATTTATTCAGCACTGGAAGGGTGGAAAGGGAATATTCATTTCTAAGGAGGGAAGGGCAGGGACTGTCACAGTTTCGAGCCTAGTCAACCAAGGCTTAGGAACCTCAAGAAATACAACCAGCCTCCAGCAGATGAATTCTAAAAAAATTTCAGCAAATGGGTACATTACTCATGAAGACAAAAGCCTCTGGAGAAACAAAGCCGGAGCTGATGTAAAGCAGCTATTTTAATCAATAAACCTGTAGCAGAAACCATCTGCACCAGGCCTATTTAAAACCAGACATTTACAATTTAAAGGCCAAATAACAATCTGCATGCAGCAATTCTGCTGGGTTTTATGACCATTCCATTTTTTCCCTGCTTAAAAAATGTATTTCTGCAAACTTTCTAATTTAGTCTGACAACAGCTGCCTGTGACAAGGGGAGGGGAAGAGCTT